TTCTATGTCTCAACTGTACAGCTAGCTGCCAAGTCACTGAAGATCTCTGGACCTCTTTGTCCTCATGTGAAATGAAGAGCACAGACCAAATTATTTCTCAGGACCCTTCCTGTTTTGAGATTCTGAAGGTTCAGATAGAGTGTAGGTCAAGGGCACTTGTCCTCGCAACCTCACTGTGTTGAGAAAGCAAGAGATGTCACACATCAGTCTACCATTAATATCCAGATGGTGGAACTGACCAGGGATTTAGACAGTGATGTGCTGGTAAATAGGTTGGGGGCTTAGATGGAGGAAAGACAGCCTTGATTTGTAGCATTTGCTGATTTCCATAGTCTAATTACTCCCGCTATGACAATTTCAAACTGCTAATGAGAACCGCCACTGAACTCTGCAAGAGAGGCACAGAGTTGGCCGCTGGCTTCAGCAAACGATCTGTTAGGAATCAAAGAAAGGAATTCAAAGAAAGCATTTTCTTCAGACTGTTCTGTGTTGTGAGGACTTCATGAAAGAGTAGAGATTTGATGTAGACATTGAAGAATACCATACTGAGGTATTTTCACGATAACCGACAAACAATTCAAGCTAGCTTAAACAAAGAAGGAAAATATGAGAAAGCGAATGTTCTAGCACAGGAATCTGAACAAAGGATGTAATATGTAGTCATAGCACTTGCTCTCCACCTTTCAGCCCTTGCATCTGCTTTAATTAGTGTACTGATGTCATTGTCTCCTGCCATAAGCAGGCTTCCTCCCGGTGGCAGGAAATAGGCTCTGGGCAACCCAGGGCTATGTGCTCACAGTTAACCAGTCAGAAGAAAAACAGTGCCTTCCCATGGAGATCACATGAAAAGACCGATTGGCTCTGCTTGGGCCTCATGCCCGCCACCTGGGCTCTTAACTGCACACAAAAGGAAAGGGTACCTGGTCCACATGCCTCTGCAGCCAGAGGGCAGGCAGAGCACTGGAAGGGACCACTCTCCCTGCCACTCCATACGCATGAGAGCCACCCATACAGAGTTCCCCAGTGGACAGAGGGATACTGGCAGATAAGAGCCATGAATTTCTCATAGACATATGGGCAAGGCTTTGTGAAGCACAAGAGTGGGTACTAGTCAGAGGAAGCTGCATAATTGGAGGTACAGAAACATAAAAGTTGAAGGTGCATCTAGGAGCCAGCAAGAAAACCCCCTGACCAAAGCAGGGGTACTTACTGGGCAGTGGTTCTCAATGAAGGGTGATTTTGCCCCTGTCAAGACATTTGGCAACATCAGGAGATATTTCTGGTTGTTACAACGGGGGAGGGGACAAGGGGGACTACTATTTTCATTAGAGGATAGAGGCCAGAGATCCTGTTAAGCATCGTACGATGCACAGGACGGTCCCCACAAATGAAGAATGTCCAGCCTCAAATGTCAATAGTACCGAGGTTGAGAAACCCTGACATATAGGAAAAACAGGAGAAATGGCTGGAAGGATGTGAAAACAGAGGGCTCTCAGGCTATGAAAGGCTAAGATGTTTGGGTTTTATGCTGCAACTATTACACAGGGGAGGATTCGAAAGATGTAAAGAAAGGATTAATGGCTTTTACACACTCTCGTCCTCCTGCCTGGCACCTCTCTCCACGCCTCCTTTTCCACCTTTTCATAACTAGCCTTTTTTGTCCTTTGCAACACAGCTTAAATGTTACCTATGTAAGAGACCTTCCAGGCCTCCCCATCAAACTACGTTCTCTTGCAGGCTGCACCCCACCATTCTCTCTCACAGCTCCCTCTTCTTTTCCTTCATAACTTTTATCACAGTTTTGCATTGTATGTTTATTTGGGTGCTAATTGAACTTCTGTATCCTCGTAAAGCACCATGGTGGCAAGACCTTGCTTATTTGTTCATACTGTGAGCCCAACGTCAAGCAGAGTGCCTTGTAGTTGTTTCATATCTAATCAGTTAATTAATTTGAAGGCTGATTATAGGACTGAAGAGAGGTTGAAGACAGGAGGTGGAATTGAGAGGGGGAAGAAAGGCAGGCAGTCCTCTGGGTTCCATCCCTGCTTGTTCTGATCCACACTCATCTCCCTTCTCGACGCTCATGACACATCAACTAGGGTTCAAGTGAAGATGCAGAACCATTCTAGTTACTTGAAGCAGACAGGATTTACTGTAGAGAATCAAGTGAATTCAGAATTGCTGCAGAACGAACTTGGCCTGGCCTGGGCCCCCAGGAATGATTCCCAGAACGCCCACACAGTACTGACCTCACAAGGGAGCTCCACTTTCTGCCACAATGGGGAAGCCCAGAGTTCGGGGAGGAGCTACTGGTCCAGCCTAGCTACAGGAACACACCATCTCAGATGTAATCGGGGCACCAGGAGCTACTGCCAGAACTCCAGAGCCGTGCTGCATCTTTGGGTCAACACCAGCAAAAGGGATTCCTCCCGAGCTGCTGCCTCCTCCACCTAATTCAGTTTCTTTAAAAATTTGGGTCTTGCACAAGCACACAGGCCTGGCTAAATCTAAATTACAATGAGAACTCCAGCACCGAGGAGTCTGGGAAATGGGTTTTTCATTTTCCAGCCTCTGTAGTATATAAAGGAAGGCATACCTGAGACAGGTTCGAACAGATGTAGGACAAGGCTAAATACTACATCTGTGGCTGTGAATGTCACGATGTCATTCATCTTTTCTTGTTCAGTGCTGGGCGTGTTCTCTAGGAATGAACAGATGTGAAATGAACTGAATCAAACAAAGGAGAATAGCCTCCTCCTTTCTTATAACACTTTGTACCCTCCTTATGGTACTACTACATTTTGCTTCTTAGAGGAATGTGCATTCTTATTTATTTTCCTTGTAGACCAGAAATTCATCTCCTTGTCTCCGTACCCATAATGGATGTTTGCAGGCCTGAGTTACACACAGAAATGGCTAGAGTGAGGGAGTCCTGAGCCCCATTTAGCTTGAGGCAGCTCCTGGAGCAGCCACCCCCTGAGTACTTTGGAGTTCCTGCCACGTGGAGCCATCACCTCTGCAAGTGCCCACGGGACAAAGCCCCAGGGAGTCTGCTTGGCTTCAGGAGACCGAGGTTCCAGGGCGCCTTCCAAACCTGGAAAACCATCCACATTCATCCGTCCATTTACGCAGCCAGGACACATTTATTAAATGCTTGCTGGGTGCCAAGCGTTAACCTTCTTACCAGCAAGAGGGGCTAGTGGTCTCAACCTCTGCTGCTGTGGAGCCCCAAAGGTAACATGCAGAGATTCCTGCTCTACCCTGGGAAGGGGGCTTTCCTGAGCCCTTTAGGTTCCAAATGGGCTCCAGGCATCCTAAGCAGGGTTTCCTCACTTTTTCCATTCCAGACACATCTGGGAACAAACCAACTTACCCAGATGCTGGAAAGGCGGACAGATGTCCCCTTCTAGCCATCTGCGAGTCAATGCACCACACTCTTCTTCACACACCATCTTTCTTACCTGCAGAGAACTCACGCTTCCCCTACATCCAGACAGGTGTCTGTCATCCCTCGGGGCTCATCTGAAACTTCACTTCCGCAAGCTTTCCCCTGACCGCCCCCCTTGGTTTAATACTCAATGTTTTTCTCTTTATTTCACATGAAACCACTTGCGTTGTCCTCACTAGAGCCTTAAGTTCCACGAGGGCAGGCACCAAGCCTGTTTGGTTTACCTCTATACCCCAGCACCTAGCTTGGGGACTGACACATAATACATACTCATTAAATGTTCGCCAAATGAATGTTGAGCCCACTAAATTTCATCCTCAAATAATATTTCTATAATATTAGCAATAGTTCTCTACATAGTTCAATGGCTCACCAACCCCTTCATGGGCAAGTGTCCCAATTTGGGGCAGAAAGATGTGCTCTAATATCATTAATCTCCCAACTTTTCAGAAAATGAAACACCATCTGTGAAGTAGCTGACTTGTCCTAGGTGATGGAACCAGAATTAGAGTTCGAGTGCATACATGCATTAAAATTCTGACTATAAACCTGGGTCATATACCATCTGTTAGCCAGATGTTCTGGCAGCCCAGTGAAATACTGGTAGCTAGTGGAAGAGGGAGAAGCAAAAGCCAGGCCTCTGAGGACATTATTTTTCCCTAGTGTCTGCTTGTTACCTAAACCGGGTCGCTCTGCCTGTTCTGGGAACTGGGATCCTGGAGAAGAGCTGGGCAAGAGAGTTAGTGAGGCCAGGGAAGCTTCCGGGGACAAGGGGGTGGGGGGGGTGCAGGGACGCCTCTTCACACTGTTATGCACGCACACACTCACATCTGGACACAATGCATACCAAGGCATGCATGCATACAAACACACACAAGGGTTGAGCCACTGCACAAGCCCATGCCCACAGATATCAGGCACATACATGCTGGTACATAGTTATGTATGCTTGTGCACACATTTAAACATGCACCCAATGCACTGATATCCAGCCACTACTGTGTACACCCAGCAACTGAAGTACACTTCGGTTGCTCACTAGACTGCATGTGCATGTACATGTGCATACATAAGCCCTGATGTATGTTTGCATGCATGCACTTATGCATGCACACACGTGCATGCACGATTCTGACTCTCAAGTACACGCACATTCAGTACACAGGGAAATGTGTCCGTTGTAAGCTGTCATGGCCACATGCACCTCAGATCCACAGTGACATGAATGCTCACGTGCAAGCAACAGACACATGCACAGGTACACACACCATTGCACACGCCTTGGGTAATGATCACTTTCATGCACGGAAACCTCCAAATATACTGACAGGTTCTAAACACAAAGAGACGCCTCGACACACCCAAGTTGCCGCCAGCGCTTCAAGTTTTTTTCCAGACCAACTCCGAAGGGGGAGCCCCGCGGTGCGGGCTGCTCACGTGACCGGGAGGAAGGCGCTCCCGCCGGTGACGGGATGGGGAAAGTATGCCTGGGGCGGCGCGGGAGGCGGGGACGCGGACTGCGGCCGACAGCCTCGTTGCTCTGGACGCTCCGAGACGTGGCGGGCCGCAGCGAGGGTGAGTGGCCGCGGGCTGTCCGCGGACGGTGCGGGCGGGGCGGGGGAGGGCACGCGGCGCCGGGCCGGTGGCGGGGCAGGAGTCATGGGCGGGCGAGGGCTGAGAGCCTCCCTCTTTGCAGGCCGGGCGGTCCACGGATTCCTACCTCTCACCCTCTGCCTTCTGAACTATATATAACATGAATTAACAATTACTGAACACTTACTGTGTGCCGGGCCCTGTGCTCTGTGGTTTACTGTTGATAGCAATAGCTCTGTTATTTGCTGAGCGCCTCTTTTGTGCCAGGCCCTGCCAGCCCTCTGTGTGCTGTCATTTCCATGACAGCAGGTTATCGCATCTGCAAAAAAGGAGCCGGGCTCAGAGATGTTAACGGCTTGCTAGGGCTGCACGGCTGGCAACTAGTGGTAAAGGGATGTGAACCCTGCTGAGTCTGAGTCCAATACGCATGCAAACAGTCCTAGGTAACGTTTATCATCTCATTTACTCCTCACAACATTTGTTTAATTGAATACATTATACAGACCGGCAAACTGAGCTCAAGAGGTACTACAGGGAAAGCAGAGGTTCGCACCCAATTCTTCACAACTCTCTTCACTCTCCCTCCTCCACCAAACTTTGTTCTTGGCTCTCCAGCCCGACCGCCACAGCCCCGTTCCAGGACGGATCTCTCTGCTGAACGCTGCGACGACGCCCCCGGGGCCTCCCTGCCCAGGCCCCTCACCTCACACCCGGAGTGCTTTGCGCCGCCTCGGTGTGGTCCTCCTCTGTTTTTTTATCTCAAAGCTCTCCTGCCTAGAGCCCTTCAAGAGTCCCCTCCTTAGACCGGCCATCTCCCAGAGACTGTGCGTCCTTGCCACGCCGGACCAACAGCAATAATAACCACAGTGTCCTATGTAGGTCCACCCAAGGCTGAGCTCAGCTAGCCTTGTTTGAAGTCTGCCCTCTCCCACTCTCCATTTCTGCTCCCCCATCTGCACAGCGCTCCTCTGACTCACTCTGTTATCTGGTAATCGTATCCATTATGCCCACTTTCAACTGCCAGCGTGTCAGAGCCTCCGCACCTCCAGAACATCACTACTGTCCTTTGTCATCCCACATCCAGCGCACTACAGACTCTGCTTGTCCCCAGATGCCTCACTTCTCCCCAGCCCCTCACAGGGACACAGCTTTGCCTGTCTTCTTATTCTTCAGTAGCAGGGTTACCTCTTGTTTTAAATGGCACAAAACTAACAATGTTCATTGTAAGAAATTTTAGACACCTCAAAAAGATAGAAAGTGAAAAGTAAAAGCCTACACACCTCCCAATTCTGAAAGGCAACCCCTTTAACAACACATTATATCCTTTCAGAAATTTCATATATACATACATTTGTGTGTGCCTATCTTTTTTTTTTTTTAACTCAAAGACAATCATACTTTACATTGCCTTTTTCACTTTTTGTATCTTGGCCATCTTTCCATATCTGCACATACAGACCTACTTTGTTCTTATAACATTGTCTTAGCATGTCTTTGCACGAGTGAATCGAGATTTCTTTCGGGAGTCTGGGGTCGCCTTTGAAGCTACTCTGCCTCCACCAAATATTCCGAATTCCCCAAGAAATTAATTCTTTCTCTGCAAATCCCTGCTTTCTGCCCTATGTTGCTATTTCTCTCATCCTCATCTGTCTCAGCAGATGACGCAGACGACCAGGGCTCCTTCTCCACGGTCCCAGTCTCTGATGCTTTCTGCTCCTGAATGTTCACCATGGGGTAGCGGAGTGTATGCACGCATAGCTTCCCGCACACCCTCCTCCTGTCACCGATCAAAGGCTCGCCAATCTGGCTTTGTCTCCATGAGGTGAATTCCTGTAGAAATTTAATTTATGGGGGTAGGCAGAGACAAATGTATTTGAAAAAACAAAAAAAGAAATTTCATTTGTCACTTAACTTCTAGCCTATGTTTTCTTTTTAAAGGACTTCTACGCTGAGTCTTTTTTCAAGGAAATAATTCTCCCTTGGGTTTGTGACTTCTGTAAGTGGCTTATTTACAGAGCTGCCCTGGTAAGGTTTGTGTACATGGGTCCTGTGCCCAAGCAGAGGGGCCGTCCATGGCAGGAAGTCACAAACCCGGGGCCCAGAGTCAGCAGGCTTGCATTCTATCCCAGTTTTGACCTGGGGAAAATGACTTCATTTTTCTAAGCTCTGTTTTCTCTTTTGCCACATGGGGATGATACTATCAGCCTCTTAGAACTGTGGAGAGATTAAAGGGGAAAATGAACATCAAAGCTTTGAAACAAGCCCTTGCTGGTGTGGCTCAGTGGATTGAGCACTGGCCTGCAAACCAAAAGATCACTAGTTTGATTCCCAGTCAGGGCACATGCCTGGGTTGTGGACCAGGTCCCCAGCTGGGGACACGCGAGAGGCAACTAGTTGATATGTTTCTCACATATCGATGTGTCTCTCCCTCTCTTTCTCCCTCCCTTCACCTCTCTCTAAAAATAAATAAATAACATCTTAAAAAAAAGGCTTTGAAACAAGACTACACCACCTTCATGGAGAACACATTCACAGAGAACCCCCTGTTCCTCCAGGACAGGGGTTGCAAACTCATATGCCAACCGGGACTGTGCATTTTAACCTTCTCCGATCGCCTCCTTGTTCTCACATATTATTATTGCATCAGAATGACACTGTTGTCACTGAGTGCTTCCTGTGGGCTGGCTACTGCATGATCTCATTAAATATTCATAATTACTCTCTAAGAGAGGTACAGCAATCAATTTACTCAGGAAGACATTCCTAAAGACCTCATATAATTCAAATTGGTATAATTCAAAACTCACCTGCCAAAAGAAGGACGGCAGTATTTCTGCTCACCGATTAGGACAGGGCTGTCGTGGGGCACTGGCACAATAAACACAGTTCGCAGGTGACAATTCATGCTGCCTTGCCAGGTTCTTGACAAACTTTCACACATAAAGTGAAACCATAAATATGTTTATATCATGCTACTTCAAATTCAAATGATTCAGATATCATCACGCAGTATTGTTTTTTCTCATTTTACAGGCAAGGACACTGAGGCTCAGAGATAACAGAGGTCAAATGGTTAGAAAATGATTCTTAACCACCAGACCAGCTCTGTGCTTCTTGAAGGCCAGTCCTATGTCAGATCTTTAGGGTTATTCCAAACATCTGTCAGGGCCTGACCAGAGGGGCTCCATGGAGACCGGCAGGCCCAGGGAAGTCAAGGAATAGCTACCCTTTTCTCCCCAGCCCTCCAGAGTTTGGACTTTGTTCCCCTCCCTCAGTTGCCAGATCTTCAAGTGTGGTCAGAATCTACTAGCCCCCAAACCTCCTTCCCCAGCATGGTCCTGGCTGCCCTTTGAGAGAGAGCCTGTTACAGAGAGAAAGAAGGCGCAAGGCTTACTTTCTGTCCTGGTCACACAGGGATGCCAGGCTGGATTCCCATTATAACCAGACCATGAGCCCTATGAGAGCAGCAACCACAGCTTTTCATTCCAGTATCCGGTTTCAAAGACAGTGAAACAGTTACCATCATTGATTGGGCATCCTCGCCAAGTCCTGGTGCCAAGCACCAGCAACATGGTGTCCCATTGGCCTTCTGTCACTTGAAGAGCTAAGCACTGTCCCATTGATTCACCTGTCTCTCTTGTTCACCTGTACAATGGAGCATGGTCATACAGGTGGCTCAGCAGTGTGGGGGGGCCAGGGCAGGGACCCCCATGACTTCCCTCAGCACAGAATGGCTGGGCAGGAGCTAAGGCCCAGCCTCCTTAGGGTGCTCCTCTGTTAGCACCCGACAGACACACAACCCAAACTAGCTGAAGTGAGAGTAGAGCATTTATTCTAACCCTACAGGGCTTCCCCCTGAAGTGCTGCAGGGCTCATGGAGGGAGGTCAAGGCTGTTTTCTATTCGTTCAGCTGCAGTTGGTGACAATCACAATTGTAAACAAGGTCTGAGTTTTTGTATTGGGTTTGACCTCCAACATCCTTTATCTCGCTTGACTTCCAGAAGGACAAGAAATAATGAAATAATAATAGGTAATGACTGCATCCCTCTCACCATATGCCAAACCATATTCTAGGAGCACTGTACCTTCACAACCACCTTGGAAGGTAGGTGCCGTTACTGTCGCCCCCATTTTGGAGAGGACAAGGCTGAGTGAGGGAAAGAGGATAAGTAATTTGTAAAAGGTCCCACGGCCAGTTCGTGGGATTTCAACCCAAGCAGCTCCGCTTGGAGCTAGTGCAGTAGCCGTCATGTGGCTGCTGAGCGCTCGAAATGTGGCCATTCTGAGTGAGGATGTGCTGCAAGTGTAAAATACACACCAGGTTCCTAAGACTTAGTGCCAATTAAAGAATGTAAAGTACCTCATTAGTAATTTTACGTTGATTACATGTTGAAGTGATGGTGTTTGAGATGCATTGGGCCAAACAACATATATTATTAAAATTAATCTCATCTGCTTTTCTTAAGCCTTTTTACCACGGCAGTAAGGACATTCAAAATGGCCTGTGGCCTCGCGTCAAGGGCCCGCTGGACAGCACTGTTCAAATGCGCTCCCAGCCCTCGGGAGAAGCTGAGTGCAGGGCTCTGAACACCCTCAGGCCTCCACGCCTCCCCTCACATCTGGCACATCTGCTGCATTCTTCTCGCTCACCACAGCGCAGAGCAGGTCCGAAGCTTGAGGGCTTTGGCCTCAGCCACTGCAAGCCTGACCCTGGATCCCGCTGCACAGGCAGCTGAGGTCCAACGTGAAGCTGCCCAGGGCCCAGAGGGGTGGGCCCCACGTCCGGGGCATAGCACGCCACATCCGCTGGTGTCTAAGGCTTTGGGATGTTAGTGCAGTGCCCCCCCCCCCCCGGCTGACTTCTGGCGTGCTTTCAGGAGGGCCACTGGGAAAAGCCCCGCGAGGCCCTGGCTCCTGGGACCTTCTTAGGTCATAGTTTGGCCTCAGACCTCTTTTTCTAGACTGAGCCTGAAATAGGGGCT